ATACAAAATTAAAAATGAAAATGGAGCATGAGTTTAGTGCCACCATTGGAAGGCTGAGGCAGTTGATCTCTGTGAATTCAAAGCCAGTAAGTTCCAGGACAGCTACATAAAAAGACCCTGTCTCAAAAACAAGAAAAAGTCAAAGTGTCCCTCAGACTATCTCGTTCCATGCTAGGCATATAGTCCTCTTTATTCTGTACTTCAGCCCCTCCTAGGCCTGAACTTTTTTTGAAAACTCAACCTGCTCCATGTGAAGATGTGCTTGCTGTTTTAGTCTTCCTAGGCTTCTCTCCTCCCAAGCTAGTTTCTTACTGTCCAGATCTTCCCACTTTTTCTTAACTCCCCCCACCCTCAAGAAGGCATAGGGCCATCTCACTGATGCTCTAATTATGAAATAAAAGGAATAATGAAAATAACAATATGGGGAAGCCTAAATTATTACATCCTGATCCTCACTTTAGCTTCTGAATTTTCCTATTAAATTTTAAAGAAAGCTAACTAGAAGGTAGCTTTCTTCTATGAGTCATCAGGTGAAAATCAAGATTCAACCTAAGAGCCACACTCCTCAGAAACTGCCGGGGAAGGCAACAGAGGCACTATATTCTTGCCCCCAAATTGAACTTTGCCTTATCCTCACACCTAGAAACAATACAATTTTTTTGTTTTTGTTTGTTCAAGACAGGATTTCTCTGTGTAACAACCTTAGCTATCTTGGAACTAGCCCTGTAGACCAAGCTGGTCTTGAACTCACAGAGGTCTGTCTGCCTCTGCCTCCCCAAATGCTGGGATTAAAAGAGTGTGCCACCACCTTCCAGCTCAAAAACAATTTTTAATTACCAGTATAAAGGAGCTGGAAAGATGGTTCCGTGATCGAGAGCGTGTTGCTCTTGCAGAGGACCTGGCTAGGTTCAGTTCCCAGCACCCATTTGGTAGTTCACAAGCCTCTGTAGCTCTGGTCCAGTTCCAGGGGATCCAGCACTCTTCTGACCTCCATAGGTACCAGACACCCACATGGTGCCCAGATACACACACAAGCAAAGCACATAAAATAAAAATATTTTTAATTACTAATTTTAAGTACTATTTATTCACAAGAGTTGAGAGTTGTATATAAGGACAAAAGAAAATCATAAAGTCAGAATTGGTAAAGAATATATATGTATATACATATATATTAAAAATAAGTTGGAATCTAGACAACCATTGAGTCCTACATAAATTAAACAGCCCATTTTAGCTGAGATTTCATACAACTGCATCAAAAATTGAAAATAATGACAATCTGACTTGAAAATGGCAAATTTATTTCTCAGATGAAGTAAACAGTAATGCAGTATCATCCAGACATACAGAGAGAGAGAGAGAGAGAGAGAGAGAGAGAGAGAGAGAGAGCGCTTACTTTAAAAAATTAGGGGGGGGAAATGGCTCTGGAGTTAAGAGAACTCAGCTCTTGCAGAGGACCTGGGGTTGGCTTCCGGTACCCACATGGTGACTCACAGCCAGTTGATCGAACACCTTTTTCTTACATCCTCAGCCACTGCACACATGTACTTACACATGCAGGCAAAACACTGATACATATATTTGATAAATTAGAAGGAAATCTCCTTCCTCTGCTATTTCTGGGTCTTGTACATATTTTTATTGTTACAGGGCTATCACTGCATTTATAGACCTCTAAAGTGTGGATTCCACATCTGTTAGCCTCTTTGTAACAAAACCTTGAAACAATAACTAAAATCCAAAATATATTTAGTAAGTATCCTCAACTAAATAATACTGATCTGACAAAAACTAAATCACTGAAATTCAGTAAATAATTGAATGGTAAGCTATGATCTGTGGAAAGATGCAGACTGCAGGGCTGAAAGAATGGATGGGGATTCATTTGATTCTCCAGAACTACAGCTTAAAATAAAATAAATAAATAAAATAAATAAATTCAGTGATCCACACTTCTAACTCAGGACTGGGACAGTGGAGACAAGCAGTCCTGTGGGCTCGATAGTCAATCAGCCTATTCTACTTGGTGAACTAGACCCTTGAGAAACCTTGCCTCAAAAAACAAGGTGGGGGCTAGAAAGCTAGGTCAGTGTTTAAGAGCTGATCTCGTTGCTCCTGCAGTGGACCCGGGTTTGAGTCTCAGCACCTAAATGGTGGTTTACAACTATCTGTAACTCTAGTCCCAGAGGACCTAACGCCATGGTACACATGCATACATGCAGACAAACATTCATACATATAAAATAAAATCAAACAAACATAGGCACACACCTATAATCCTGGAACATAGGAGACAGATCTTCATGAGCTCAAGGCCAGCCTGGTATACACAGTGAGTTCCAGAGCAGACAGAGATACCCTGTCTCCAAAAAGAATTTTTTAATTAAAATTTAAAAGAAAAACAAAACATGGCAGATAGTGTCTGAGGAATGACACTGGCAGCATCTACACAAATATACTTTATACACACATAACATAGAAAAGATAGGAAACATGTCCCCCAAAACACTGACATCGTCTTGAACTCTTAGTTGAGTTTCCAATGAAGTCTCTGATCTTTTCGTAGTATTTCAAATGGCCAAGAATTAGCCTATCCCATAAAGACAGTATGATCTACACTAAGAAAGGTCTAATCAGTGCACTGAAATCCTAACATTTAAGTGATCTGGGCTAGTAGGTATGTGTTCAGAAAATTATTTATATAAAGAAAACTTATCTGCAATAGCTTACAATGAACGGGCTTGATTAAAAACCACTCAATTATTAAAGTGCTGAGGAAACTGCTTTTGACTAATTATGAAGATGACTTATCACTGCATGTCATTAACATGTACCCAGAGACTTGTATACTGTAAATTGTAGTCCAGAAGCCTAGCCACCCTCTTTCTACTGCCTCTTTCCTTCGTTCTTTCATTTCTTCCATGCCAACTCTGCCTCACCTATGCTGTTAGTGGAGCTTGCTTTTCATCACTCTTAATGTCGAGCAAAAGCCTTCCTTGCTTTCTGTGTTTAAAAACCGTCAGTTTTGTTTTCTGCACCTCTCACTGCCTGCCTTTGGCTGTTGTCACTGATTTTTCTGTACTAACTTTTTTACATTCTTTGTTCCAGGCTTCTGCACATGGTGGTGGTGGTTGAGAGGGTAAACAGCATGAAGTCAAGGCATTACTATTTTACTGCTACCCTCGCCACACACACACACACGTTCTTGTTTTCACTTAATAGTAAAATAACACAGCAAAGATTCCTTTCTACGACTAGTTCCTACATCAGATCCTTTAAGATTCCAAAAAAAAAGAGATAAGCTGCTAAGGAAGTATAATAAGAAACTCAAGCCATTTACCAATTATGTATACAATATGACAAAAGTACATTCTTTTAGGCATTGAGGATTTATACCTAAAAGAAAGTTGACATATGCCATCAATTTAGTTGATTTTATTCCTTCTATCACTGTATTAAATCTGGTCTATTACCACTATAATCTTAGGGAAGCACTTAACAAAACATTTAATTAAACCTTAATTAAAACCTTTAGGCCATTAGGTTGGTCATCCATCCCCACAAAGGGTTTTAAGAGTGCTTTAAAGTACATATTCTTGTCTGCTTTAAAGTACACCTTCATTTTTGCTTATCTTTAGGCTAATAAACTCTGAAAAATACCCAAATACTTTCAATGTGAAATCTGGTTAAAAGAACACACTGCTGATGGGGCTGGAGAGATGGCTCAGCAGTTAAGAGCAGCTGCTGCTCTTGCAGAGAACCCAGAGTTTGATTCCCAGCACCCACATAGGAGCACACAATTGTCTCTAACTCCAGTTCCAGGGAATCCAAAACCCTCTTCCAACCTCTGCAGGCACCAGGCATGCACATGGTGCACACACGTGCATTCAAGAAAAACATTTATACACATAAAATAATCAAAAAATAGAGAGGAATCCACCAATGAAATTATATTACAAATTTACAAAACAGCTACAAATATACCCTAAGCCCTGGCTCTTAATAGTCTTTTGCATATTCTAACATTAAGTGTATGTACAATGGAATTTTCATGCCTTCCTGATATGAAGGTATATTTGAGGTAGAGTAAATAAAGGAAGATGAAAGGAAAACAAAACCCCACGCTAGATAGCATAGTTCACTTCTCCAGTCTCATAGTGTAGAGTATTAAGTTCTCTAGTCATAGAGAGATGGTCTCTCTGGGACCACAGCAAACACTGAAAACATTGTTCTCTTAGATTACCTATGAAACATTAAGATACCTTGGTTATAAAAATGTATTTTAATTGCATTTTCCCTATAACGATAGTAAAGGCTCACATTTACTAGAGTGTGCTAGAGAAATGTTAAGGATCTTACATGGGTCAACATTTAATCCTCCTACAACCACATGTATCAGATATAGGCATCATTACCCCACTCTACAGATGGGAAGTAAGCTTGATAATGTACTCGTTTGCTCTAGAGAAGACTCAAACAGCAGCAGGCAATGGTACTCTGACCCTATCCGCATCACTGTGCCTTCCACCAACACACAGGTAAGTGTAAACTACTCAGGTAAAACCTCACCTTCTCTCATGCTGTTCTTTCTTGCAGAAAAAAATGAAAATACATTGTGAAAATATATGATCTCTATAAGATAGATTATTGCCTTTACTTATTTTGTCTTAGGAACTAGAGTATTTCCCCATTACAAGTATTTAAAATTGGATACACTGGACATTTATCCATGAAAAACAATACCAAAATAACTTGTTTGAAAAGAACACAGCCAGATAGTTGGTGTTTCACTGGAAGAACCTTAGAATAAAACAGGTTTTACATCTTCATTTAACAACATTAAAGAATGAGGTATCTGAATGTTTTCATCACAGATGTTTACTGTATGCAATAAACTGTATTCACAACTAGCAAGTTACAAGAGTAACACTGTGCCAATAAAAAAGTACTGCAATTGAACAGTTACATTACCATGAGAAACCAAATACCAAATCAAATTTCAGGGTCCACAGTTTTATTTTTCCTTCTATGTTATCATGGCATCTTTTATGTGATAGTTTATATTCAACTTGGGTTTTGTCTTTAGGCTGATTTACATTTCAGAAGTCCCCTATAGGTAGATGTATATTAAGCAAATGGCTGGAGAAAACAGGAGATTTAGTAGAATTTAAGATGTAGCATGTGGTTTCTAAGATGGATTTTTCAAATACAACATAACGCACTTCATTTAGTTGTAAACAGAATGCAAAATCTGAAGTCATAAAAATATTTTATTGGTAATTGTACATAAGTGAGTGGGGCTTCGAATACTTTTATTTCACGATATTGATAAATGCATAAATTGAAGGCTGTATCTGGTTTTCATCCCAATTACTGTATTTGGTAAAAGGCCAATGAAACTGATTTAAGATTAACCTCTCAGCTCTGTGCAATAGTCACCATGGTTATGCTAATTAGGTTCACATGTCTATGACCCTGGATAGGTTTGGAACAAGGAAACAGTGATACACTATCATTAAGTTACAGCTTTGCCATGGATGGCAAATTCTTTTCTGTTTCTGCCAGATGCTTATCCTTCTTTAACGTTAATGTCTTAGAGAATACAGGGAAAACCAGTGTTCAATGACAATAGCACTAAACCTGAATTAGAAAGCTAAACAATCCATGTTTTATTGTTTACAATTCTGCTAGTAAACATTACAATAAATTGATGCTTTGAAAAATAAGCAAACTAACAAACATAAATTGCAAAATGGATAGAACATAACTCAGAAACAATAATTTAGTAAAAACATGTCAAAAACATTGGCGAAGTTTCATACAAATTCTTTATTTAATAACAACTTTCCTATTTAACCACACCAAGTACCAGCAGGTGCATTAAGAGGATAACCATTAAGAAAATCCTGTTGCAGCAATAGTTGATTAAGTTGATCTCTGACTTGCATACATATAACTATTTGTTTCACAATTCTCAAATAATACATATTTAGGCAGCTTGCACTATGTAATAAAAAATTTAAACTCATCACATGCCAATAGTAGAGAATTCAATAATTATGTGTTAGAATTCACTAAACTATAAGTGAAAATAGACTTACCAATAACACTGCATAATGAATAAGTCAACCACATTTTCATGGCATTAACAGCAGAGACCAAAATGTTACGTCTGGAAACGTTTGGTAGCTTACACTGCGATAAGATCTAATAAATCCAGGCAAATTCATAGTTCATGTAAAACTCAAATTATAGGTTATGTATGAATGTGTCTGTCATGAAAATGTGGTAGTTCTTGGCATAATCTGTATTTCCATGGAGGACAGGTATGACTAAGTGGAGCGAGAATGTTTAGTGAGACTCTCCGTTCAGGGATGAGGCTTCTCCTCGAGGCGAGGAGGACCTGGACACGCCCCGCTCCGTGTTGTCTGAGCTGCAGCTGCTCTGGCTGTGCTGATCCCCAGCAGCAGCACTGGATGCTGGCGCTGACTTTGCTTTCTCCTTAAAGTCTGTAATAATGACTGTTAGATCTCCAACAGTGACTTCCAAATGCTGAGCGCTACTCCGATCCACATTTTTTAATCTTGGTCTAATAACAAGAAAATGAGTTTTTAAACAAGCTTTTCTTAGTGTCAAATTTTTGAGTACACACTAAATAACCAAGCTAAGGTGACAAAATGAGTGTACTTCCATTTAAAGCAATTCAGATGTAGTAAACCACAGAAGTATCACAAAATATTTCAACTCGTTAACATTAACCAAACAGATCATTCATGAATGGCTTTCACCATGTTTTAAAATCATACTGAAGTTTCCAGGCAGCTTAATAATTTTATTCCAGTAGATGTTTTAGGGCAACAAAGACACTACTGAACCACAAAGGCAGTTGATAAAAGCTAAGGCTGGGGACTGGAGAGATAGTTTAGTGGTTAAGAGTACTGGTTATTCTTCTAGAGGAACCAGGTTTGAGTCCCAGCACCCACATGGCATCTCAAATGTCCCTAATTTCAGTCCCAGAGGAGGTAGCATACCCTTCTGACCTTTATAGGCACCAGGTATGCAGGCAGTACACATACGTACATGTAGGCACCACACTCGTACACATTAGAACAATAAAATAAATAAATCTTTAAAATAATAAAATAAAGCTAAGGCTAGGATAACCTCTCACTTCATTGTTGTACTCTGACTGTTATGACAAAATCCACAACCATGACCACTGGTCACACAAATATCCATTTATGAATTTCAAGTACCTCTTCTTTTTAATGAAGGAAAAAGGACATAAATATCTACTAAAAAAGAAAAGCCCCAGCCGGGCATTGGTGACTCACGCCTTTAATCCCAGCACTCGGGAGGCAGAGGCAGGTGGATCTCTGTGAGTTCAAGACCAGCCTGGTCTACAAGAGCTAGTTCCAGGACAGCCTCCAAAGCCACAGAGAAACCCTGTCTCGAAAAACAAAACAAAAAACAAAAAAAGAAAAGCCTCTTCACATTTAAGCTCATACTTTGACCTTTTCTTATCACCAACACAACTTTCACGCTCAGAAAAATTCTGTGATATTTTATATTGAGATAAAATAGTTAATTTTCACTTTATGTATAGGAATATGATCAATGTTTAAAAAAGTCTATTAATGGTTATTTTTATTCTTTCAAAAATACCATAAAACACTTTCTCACCTGGTTTTTTTATGACAGTTCTTTTTGCTAGTTGCTTCCTTTTCACTTTTTTCCTTTTCTACTTTATCTTTCTTCTCTTTCTTTGACTGGGTAGGGGGCACAAACTGTTGAGTAACCTGCTGTGCGACCAGCTGGGAGACAGGTCGAGGTTTCCTGTATGCACAGTAAAGAGAAAGGCTTTTATTATAACTTAAGGATACATGTTTTTATAAAAGAATAGTACTTGTTATGAGGTTATATTTTATGAAGAATTCAAGTATAAAATTCCTCATCTGTAAAATGTAGATTTTCATTCCTTGCTCAACAAAATAAAGCAAACTGTCATATAACAGTTAAAATTTTAAGTCCCAGATATGTGGTCAAACCATTAGAATGTAACTGTACATAAAGGAAGATATGACATTACTTAAAATATATATCCATGAAAATAAGAAGGTACACATTATAATAAACATGAATTTTAGACATTTAGCACAAGTTTATGCTTTAGTTTCTGTTGCCATCAATGCTGAGGCCGAAGTACAGGACCTCACACATGCAAAGTATAAGCTAAGGCACACCCCAGCTCCAAGAAGGTGTTTTAGCCCATCCTTCCCTCTAAGCCAAAGAGCTGAGTTTCTATGGTAACATCTATTTCTTCCCTCTCTAGAATCTTCCATCCACTCACTGATTATGTGTTTACTGTCCAACTCATTACTGAAATCACTGAGACTCCTCTGTCTCTGGTACAATCTTCCTATGCATTTCTGATGCTGGAATTCTCTGAGATTTTCCAACGACCTCATTTTAAATGTACTTATTGAAAATCTTCTGCGAGACTTTTTAGGGTACCTGCCTGGCTTTTCCTTTGGATGCTAGAATGAGCAAGCACCTATCACTCCAGATCAAGGACCCATCCTTGAGCTGAGTCAAGATCCAGAGACAACAACCTCTAAGTTCCTAAAAAAGAAAGAAAATTAAAAGAGGAGGACAAGGAGTGGAGAAATAAGGGCAAAACAAAAATTATTTTATAAATAATGGTAACGTCACTGCCAAGAAAATCCTACTTAAAAAAAGAAAAGCTAATTATTATTCTTGTTTCAACTCGTCATGGATTTGTTTTTTTTTTATGGAGGATAAGTACATACAAATATATGTGATAATACAGAGTAAAATCTAATGGGAAGTTTAACAGCTTTGGAGTGGCTATTCTAATTGTATAGAAATTCATTTAGATGTTCAGAAATCATATAAGGTGTGTGTGTGTGTGTGTGTGTGTGTGTGTGGGTGTGTGTGTGTGTTTAGACATTTGACCTAGCTAATTTGGGTGTGTAATTTTCTTTATTTCTAAGTTCTTCTTTTCCTTTGTTTTTGTTTTGAGCTAGGATTTTCACTATGTAGCTTGGGCTATTGTGAAACTCATTATATAGACCAGGCTAGTCTCAAACACAGAGATCTGACTGCCTCTGACTCCCAAGTGCTGGGATTAATGTTCAATGTTTTTACAGTAAAATTTCAATTAAATTCTATTAAAAATACTATCCTATACTGGATAGAGCATTTCTTAAAATCTTTGATGTCTTAATTATAGCAGGACAAAAATAGGAAGTGAGAAAATATTGCATAATCAAACATTTTAAGTTTGAAGGCTAGTGGGGTATAAAGAAGCAGTGTGTAAAACAGATTTCAGGAAATGGGCTGTGAAATACTGGAAAATAGGTCTAACAAAAATCAGAGCTAGATGTCTAGACTAAGAGTCTACATTAACAGTGCTTGAGGACATGGCTCCATGAGTTGAGTGGTTGCTATGCAACTAAGTATGGTCACTAGCACTCAGGTAAAAAAGGTGGGCATGTCCTCTGACACACCTGTAAACTCCAGTGCTGGTGATGAGGACAGATATGCAAGACAGCTAGGGCTTGTTGGCATCAGCCTAGCAAGTTCTAGGTTCAGTGAGAGATCCTAATTCAAGGGAATAGGGTTGGAGGTGGGGAGGCAAGGAACACTAGAAGAGAACACTAGACATCCTCCTGTGGCCTCCACGGACAGACCTATGTGCACCCTCACACACATACACATGCATACATCACACATACAAGAAAACTGCACATATGAAAGTGATTTGAAAGCATTGTTTTAATGATTAGCTCTGTTAAGGAAATTAACACAGCAACAAGGGTTAAGGTAGTGGTTTACACATTAAAGCAATGTCAGAATCTCCTGGAAGGCTTTTTGTCTTGCCAACTCCTACATCCAATTTCAGGGTAGAGAATAAGAATTTGTATTTCTAGATAATTTTCAAGTAACACTAACCTGATTGACATAGGAATGTCATAGGAGAAAACTCTTCCTGGGGAGATGCAACCAAACATATCTACTCACTGAGAGGGAACCCATAACAGCAAAAGTACAGACAATACCAAATTCCAATTTAGTTAACCAATGAGTTTTATTCGGGTTGCTTACAGGAGTATAGGTGAAGGGTTACTTACAGGAGCAGAAATGATTCACAGACAGCTGGATCACCAAGGCCCCGCCAGCACGGTAACAGTTCATAAAACTAGGAACCTAGAGCACACTGAACAGCCTTCAGGTAGCTCAAAAAGATGGAGGGTGTCCTTCCAGGGTGCCTTGGCTGCTCTAAAACTTCACCAGACAACTAGGCTGATTTCTCCTTCTTCCAGGCAGCTGGTCTAGTCTCTTTGAGTCTTCATTGTAGCTTCTCTACTCACAGAGTCATCTTCCCAGCTTGGCTTGTCTAATGAGAGTCTTTTTTACAGCTCTGTTCCATTAGTCTCTAGACTAGACTCAGCTTTCATTGCTTACTGTGGCAGGGAGGGGGAAAGTGAATCTAGTCTGTTTCAGGGACTTCCTAAAGCTCTTCTGAGTTGTTTACCTTCCTGCTTAAGGAGCCTCCCTGCAGGATGGAGTATTTCAATACAAGAGATCTTTCTGAAAAGAAGCTTCAAGAAAAGTAAAAGACATGCATCCAGTCCTGGGATTGTTGCAGCAGAAAGTTCCAGACTGCTGAGAGCAGCAGAGGAATGAAGAATGCTGCACACATAGCACCCGGAAGGAAGTTAAGGAGTATTAGTTAACCGTGAGAAGCAGAGTCACTGGAGAAACTCAACCAAGCTTAACAAAGAGTATAGGCATCAATCTAAAGTGAAAAGGTTCTACAAGACAAGAAAGTTGTTTGTTAGCTCCTTTAATAAACCAGGAAGGAAGATATTCTTTTAAAAAATCAACCGAAAAAGAGAAAATAAAAAAAAATATCTAAAATAAAGTCAAAAGTGGGAGATACAAATTTATTATTCATGAAGTACTCATAGTATGGCATTTCTATGTTATTTTATTACAGCAACAAAAATAGATTAAAAGACGGACTCAAAGACAAAACAAAAAAATAAAGACAAACTCTTCAATCTGATTAAGTGCTATGTACAAAGTTTAAGAAACACATTGAGTGTTATGAAATAAGATACTACGTAATTTTATATTTCCTGACCTAAGCTAGAAACCCCTGCCAGTAAAGGGAAACAAAGGGGTCAGCCACCAGCATGTAGCTACAATTACTACTGGACGCCGAGAATGCTGAGGAATGAAAAATAACTTAGTATTTTGTTTACTGACCCATAATAATGCATATGTGGTACAGTGTGACATCTAAATAGCTAGATATAACGCATATTACCGGATCAGTGTAACCTGCATATCATCTTCTGACATATGTCCTTAAGAAATAGGATACTGTTTCTAGGCTTACAGGCCAGAATCAACTGCATGTTACAAAATGGTAAAGCACAGTGTGAAAGTTTTGTTTTTTCAGTTATACCTAAATATGGAAAGAGAAAGCTATGACATGACTGGAATATGTTTGATCAGGCTAATGTCTAATAAATAGTGAGTCACTTAAAAGTAAGTTCCTTAAAGTAGAAAATGTAGCTACGAAATTGTCATTAGAGGGCATTATAAATCTCTGGGTCTGTCCATTAAATTACAGGTTTGTCACATTCATATACTATGTCTTGTATTGGTATTACTAATCCTCAAATTTTAATATAAATGGTATATAAAAATGTTACTGAAATAAATTTAAAGTGGAAATTCTGGGGCTGGGAGATGGTTTAGCTCTTGCAGAGGACCCAGGTTCAGCTCCCAGCACATACGACAATGCAAAGCCACCTGTAACCCCAGGTTCCAGTGTCCTCTTCTGGCCTCCTCATATTCTGTGCACACGGATGCACACAGGTGTGGTGTGCATATACACACACAGGAAAAACACATACACATAAAATAAAAATAAATCTTTAAGAAGTGGAACTGCCTGGCAGTGGTGGGGCACGCCTTTAATCCCAGCACTTGGGAGGCAGAGGCAGGCAGATCTGTGAGTTCCAGACCAGCCTGGTCTACAAGAGCTAGTTCCAGGACAGTTTCCAAAGCCACAGAGAAACCCTGTCTCAACTCAAAAAAAAAAAAAAAGAAGTGGAAGTTCTTAAGTTTCCAGCCATTAACAAATTGAAGTGCCTTATTATTTTCACTATAATGTATCACATCAATGCCAACTATATTTAGTGTCACCTTTAGAGAAAACTAAAGTTACATAGTTTTCCTAGATGAAGGGATTCTGACCAGCTTGAGTATAGCAAGTACAGCTCTGGCAAGCCTTGCCCTTCTCTCCCATTCCTTCTGTCTTGCTAAAAACCATTAGATTTTGCCGGTCAATAATGGTGCACATCTCTAGTCCCAGCACTTGGGAGACACAGGCAGGAGGATCATGTGAGTTCGAGGCCAACCTGGTCTACAGAGTGACCAGAGAAACTCTCAAAAACCAAAAAGCAGGGGGGGGGCAACAACAACAAAAAAATTAGATTTCATTCCTAAAGCTAGCCATCAAGATCTAGTCCCTTATTTTGCCATTTCCTCCTCCTGAGGCTGACTATCCAGATTCAGCAATCAAAAGCCCCCCCTTGGCTCACCTAATTGACATGCCTAATTAAAATCAAACACCTCATCCTAACACAGGGGTTCCCTGTACCTTTATAAACTGCCATTTTCCTGTGTGCTATGTCTGCCCCTTCTCAGTTCTTCCTTTTCCCTTGTCCCTCATCGTCAATCTCCAGTATTTGTCTCTTATCCCTGCCCTCTGTCCCCCTGGGGCAAATAAATCTCCT